AATTTTTTTTCCGTGGCCAAAAGTCCTAAAAAAGTCAAATCTTCTAAACTTTTTTTTTATTTTATTATTGAAACATAAGTGCTTTACTCTACTCAAAAATATATCCGTTTAATTACTAGAGATGAAGGCAAGCTTGCCTAATGGCTTTAAAATTGTCGAATTTTCGGAAATTTTTTTTTTTCAAAAATACTTATCCTCAAAATTTACATAACGTTTTTCAATTTTAAGTAAACATATTAACTTAGTGCTAACAAAAAGTAAATGTTTTAGTTATATATTTGTATTTAATTTATGCATAATATGTTTTAGAATTGTTGGTATTTTAAAGGGGTTTTTCTAAATTTCCTCGTCTTCCTTTTCTAAATACCACTCGAAGATTGTTTGATTTTCTGATTTTTGCATTTACTAAACGGCAGTTAATGTTCACAAAAAAAAACCAGCTGCGACCATGTATTCTTTATGATATATTTTTTAGTTCAAAATCGAGGACTTTTTTTGCTTTTATAAAAAGACGAATTTAAAGTTAAGATATTTGTTTAAGAAATATAGTTTTTTTTATTTTTTTTAATTTTATTAAACACATCGAACCTTTTTTGTTTAAATTAAACTTTTTTTTTATTATTTTAATGTTTTCTAAAAGGGAAAAAAAAAAAAAAAATCATTTTACTATAAATACGTAAAAATCAAATATTTAAGTGTTCGATTCCGAACTAATACCGCTCTCTTGAAATTGGAATTAGTGATATTTAGGAAGTATAACGGTTGTTTGATACTATTAAATAAAATCAGCTGCGACTAGCTATAACTTAGACTTAAAATCGATTTTGAAATTTCGAGATTTTAGGCTAATTTAATTCTTCCTTTACAATGCATTGTGACGTGAAAAAAAATATTTGTCTAGAAATTTGAAGTTTATATGATATGAAAGACTACTTAGTTAATAATTGCAGCAATTTGATTAAAAACTTTTAACGTTAAAAACTTTAAAAAACCTTAAGCATAAAAAATTAACGTAGAAGCTGTAAGAAAATTGAAGTTAAGCACTTGCACATACTGTAAGGGTTAAAAAATAATTAAGTCATTAACACCCTTCATATATACTTCTAGTGAATTACACTAACTATATTTTATATTGTTAATATATAGTAGCCGTTTAAAAATTAGAATTTATTTTTATTAGCTCAAGGTTAAAACTTTATTTCTATTTTACATATTAGTGCACATAATAATTTTGTTTAAATCAAATGGTATAAATATAATCTTAGTCAGTATTTTCAAAGTCGGCGTAGTAATAAAATGGCAAATCAGTGTTTTCATTTTCAGATGGTTCAATAATGTTAATGTGCTCATTTAAATTTCTTATTTCATTTATGTTTATTGGATTTAGTTCCTCATTTCTACCATTAAAATTATCATCCTCGAAATCAGCTAGAAAAAAAAATAAAATTAGAAGATTTTTTAGAACTTTACCTTAATTACTCCCATATATAAATAATATACATTACTAAATCTTTTTAACTTTGAAAATTTTGATAAAATAAACTATAAGAAAAAGTCTAAAACCTAATGTCCACAAGTTTGTTTTGATATCGCAAAAGTGATTACCGAAACCTTTGGTAAAAAAATAACTCTTAACATGCCACACTTTTATCGGCAAGTAAGGATAAAAAAGTAGATGTAAACGCACACACATTTGATAATTTTGGCTTCACACACAGAAATCTCTGTGTGTGAAGCCAAAATTATGGTAAGCCAAATGATGGTGTCTAGACACCATCATTTGGCTTTATAAATTGGTCTTGATAACATAGACTCTAAAGTTGTAAAAAATGTTTATGACGTTATTGAGTATCCCCTAATGTATATTTTTAATCTCTCATTAAAAAATGGAGTTTTTCCTGACCACCTAAAATTAGCACGCGTAGTTCCAGTATTTAAAAGCAGAGATAACTCGACTTAATCTAACTATAGACTCATCTCCATACTCCCGTGCTTTTCAAAAATATTGGAGCGCATAATGTATAATAGACTCTTTACATACCTTCAAAATCATAACATCCTCTACAATGACCATTACGGATTTAAAAAAAGCCACTCACTGAACATGCTGTAATAAAATTAGTTAACGAAATTTTAAGTGGCTTTGACAAAAACAAACACACCCATGGAGTATTTATCAACCTTTCAAAGGCTTTTGATACAGTGGATCACAAAACCCTTTTATACAAACTTCATAATTATGGTATACAAAATAAAAATTTAAAATGGTTCAATTGCTATAAAAGAAAAAAACAACTACGCGTGCTAATTTTAGGTGGTCAGGAAAAACTCCATTTTTTAATGAGAGATTAAAAATATACATTAGGGGATACTCAATAACGTCATAAACATTTTTTACAACTTTAGAGTCTATGTTATCAAGACCAATTTATAAAGCCAAATGATGGTGTCTAGACACCATCATTTGGCTTACCATAATTTTGGCTTCACACACAGAGATTTCTGTGTGTGAAGCCAAAATTATCAAATGTTGGTGCGTTTACATCTACTTTTTTATCCTTACTTGCCGATAAAAGTGTGGTATGTTAAGAGTTATTTTTTTACCAAAGGTTTCGGTAATCACTTTTGCGATATCAAAACAAACTTGTGGACATTAGGTTTTAGACTTTTTCTTATAGTTTATTTTATCAAAATTTTCAAAGTTAAAAAGTTTTAGTAATGTATATTATTTATATATGGGAGTAATTAAGGTAAAGTTCTAAAAAATCTTCTAATTTTATTTTTTTTTTCTAGCTGATTTTTAGGTAACTTCATTTTCTTTTTTTTCTAGCTGAATGATAGAACTGAATGGGAACCAGGGCTGTCCCGAGGGGGGCGTAAGAGGGTGTCTAGCCCCCAACGAATTTTTTCGGTCGGCAAATAGGAACTGGAGTGGACAAAAATAGATCTATTGTTGGCAGTCGGCAAATATGGGAAAACGAGGACCTTTTTTTTTTTTTAGGGATCAAAAAGTATTTTTTTTGCTTTAGTCGGCAAAAAACAGACACATCACCCTCCTTTAAAATCTCTTCGGGACGGCCTAGATGGGAACTTAATGTGAAAAAAATTATACCAAGTTATTAATATTCTATTTATTTTATTAGGTAAATCATAAAGCTGTTTTGAAAAATCTATCGTATCAGAATCGCAACATAGTCAAATTTCATTATCTGTTTTATAATTTGTTACTTTGTTTTTTTTTATGATTATTTACTAATTTTTCAAAACTTTTATTTTCAAGAAAATATTTTGAAAAACACGGATATTTTGGTTTGTAAAACTTTGTAAAAGTATAAGTACTTTAATGTTCAATATTTGTTAGAAAATTCATAATTTTTTGGTCATTGTTATTTAACTTTTTATGCAATTGTTTTTTTCACTATCATTCAATATGCTTTTTGACGTTTGCTTTCATTTTAACAAACATATGTCCGATACATGTATCCAAACATGTGTCCGATATCACGCAATCATACCTCTTTCACAAATATTAGTTTTAAAACCAGTGAATTAAAGTATTAAACAAATTTTTTTTAATAAATGTTGTAAATAAAAATGTATCTTTAATTAATAAAAAGTTTTAAGTTTACATAAAAAGTTTTAAGTTTACATAAAATTAAATATATTATTATGTGAATCAAATATTTTGATACATCGCTCTTCTGAGGCGGGAAACAATATCTTGCACTTCAAGCCTCTCGTTTTGGCATAATATCACAGATATTTTGCATATACCATGTTTTATTTCAAATATTAATTTTATAGTAATTAAAATCAGACTGCTTCTTTAATTTAAGCTGTAAATCATAGCAAATATAGTATAACAGTACGAATTAGCTACAGCCTCTTGACTTTGCAGTTTATGGACTCAAGAAATCAGCATGGGAAAAAATAGCTAATGAATAGAAAGTTGGTAAAAGAAGATTTCAAACATCTAACTAAAGATGTTTTCCAAAGAGTTTGCTGTAAATAGGGCCGGTGCGAGTAGGTGTCACGTGGAGAAGGAGGGGAGGGGGAGGGGAGAAGGAAGGGGGTACTATTACAACTTTTGCCGACTTGAAAAAAAACAAAAAAAAGGTCCTCGATTTTTTAAAATTTGCCGACTGTATATCGACTTTTACTGACTGACTGTTGTGGCCTTCTTTGTGCCGACTAAGATTTAGTGTGGGGTGTGTGGGGTGTGTGACACCCTCATGCACCCCCCACCGCTGGCTCTGCTTAGAGCAATATTGTGCGAAAAAAGTTCATCTTGAAAAAGTATTTTAAATGTTGAAATAAACTCTTCTGTTTCTAAATCCTAACCAAAATGCAAGTTAAAAGTAAAAAATACCCAACTCAAAGACTCCTTAAATAAAGAAAAAAAGAGTTTCTTTATTAAATTTTAATACTTTTGAAAAAGTGATTGATTATTATAAAGTTACTTTATGTATTTCTAGCTTGAAAGTAAACTAAGCATTGGTACTGTATATTTTATCTGACTTTTAAATGTGTTAATGGGTGCACAGTTACCCTATGAAGTGCACGATTACTCCACGTTATGATACCAAGCAAACAAAGTTGTGTTAAACACGTCGAAAAAACGTTTTAATACGTTTTTAAAACGTTTTGTGTTTGGTATGTGATTTTAACAAAATATTACTTTTATCGCAAATATTATCGGTATCTCTTGTGAAACTCACAATATTTTTGTTTATTTTTTTTCTTATCATTTCTTTTTAAAAAATGCTTTACTTTATTTTGTTTTATATTGATCTTTATAAAATATACATAATTTTTTTTTCGTTTCAGTTTTTATAAAGCAAATCAAAACTGGTTTTGTTTAGTACCGGTGTTTTAACAAAATTATTCAAAAAAAAAAAAAAAAAACCCGTAGCATCTCGTTTCTTATTAACCGTTTTAAGACAATAAATTTTTTTTAAATAATTGTATGAAAAAATTAGCATATATATTTAATTATAATTTATATATTTATAAATGTTTGTAAACCTCGCGTTTTATTTCAAAAAGAATCAAGAATTTTTTATTTAATCAATAAATCGCAAAGTTTTGACTTTTAGTAATAAATTAGCGATGTCTTCATTTTCAATATTTAACAAAATTGAAGGTAAAAATTTATCCTTTATTTTCTATATTTTAAACTTTATATTATTTTAAATCAATAATTAGAATCACTTTTATTTTTAAAAAATGATCAATGAATATTAAAAAAATTTAATAAGAAACCTAAAGAAATAATTAGAATCCCAAGTAGCATAATTGCAAAAAAAGAACCTCTAATTTTAAGATAAATTTTGTAAATTTTATAAATATAGAAAAAAAAAAAATTATAATATTGAAAAACACTGCTTAATTAAAGTAATATCAGTTGTTCAAAATATTTGACAAAATTAAGATTTATCATAGATATTGCAAGGTTTTTATTATTCATGAACAAAAAAGATTGAATCACCATTTACTTATGCAAGTAATAATGCAGTGTTGTTATTTTACAAAGGGATAATTATCTTAAAAAGAGATATATGATAATGAAGTAAAGACATTTTTTTAAATAAGTGTTTATGAAAATAGGTATAAATACTAATTCAGTTATAAAATATTGATTTGCTTTTGCAATTTATAAAAGATTTTTTTAAATAATGAAAATAAACAGAGGGTGTTTTGTTTAATTTTAGGTGCAGCCAGTTTTTTAAAATAGTTTTAATTTTTTTAAACTGTCAAATTAAGTGTCTTGAAACTGATGAGTTTTTAGCAGCTCATATTTTGTATTCATTTAAAAGTTTGATACATTTTATGTACCATGATTTTAAATGAATAAAGTATACATTGTACAAAAGTACAAAAATGTGCAAATATATGACATATATTTGCACATTTTTTAAATATAATATACTTTGTAGATTTACTAATGATATTGTGAAAACCTAAAAAGTAAAACTAATATTTTTCTAATATTTAACTAGTTCTGGTGAAGAGAAACTTTAACAAAATTTCTGTTACAGTAATCTTTTACCCTTTTTACTATCAAAATGGATCATCGCAACCAATTAACAATATACCACCAGAAAAATTATGTTAAAAACTCCTTATAATTTTTCAATTAATTATAGGACTTGTAGCAGAGTTTGAATCTCCATTGGCAACCGAAAATCAACTGGAAAAGATAAGTTGTAACTTGCTGTCAGCTCTTGAAGAGTTAAAAAGTTTTCCAAAGATAAAAGATGGTAAACATCTGTTAGCCATACACACCATGGGTGTAAAGTTATGGAACTTGGTGGTTACAAAAAATATTTCAAAGTATTTTAGCGCATTAGTCTCTGTGAGAGGTTTGATCAATTACTTTTTTATTTTTTTGCTTTTTTATTTACTACAATTACAGTGTTTTTCTTTATAATATCTATTTTTATTTAGAACTAAATTAATAGTAATAGTAGTAGTAGTAATAAACAAACAATCAAATATATAAAATGAAGTATAATATATATGATAAAACTTAGATGATAAAACTTAGATCAAAGATAAAACTTAGATCAAAGTAGTATATAACATATAACAAAATGTAACAAAAACTACAGCAAAAAATAGAGATAATTTGATGGTTTTATTTAAAAAAAGTTTTATTCGTTTTCAAATTTTTTGTCAATTTACCTTTATATCAAATGAATACTAGGCCTTGGGATGAAGCAAAAACGATCACTTCGCCCATGTGAAAAGTGCACATAAAAAACCTTCTGGGCGCAACAAGTAGCGCTAGTTTTGTTATAAGAGTTAAAAATCACGCTTGCCTGAACAACTTGTGAGTTGTTTATAACAAATTATAAGTTAATTTTATAGAAAATATTTTTATTTAAAATTTTTTTGCTGAAGTCAAAATATGTTGAAATAGTAGAGTTTGCATATTGTTAAATAAAGAAGTTATATTCATCATAAAGTACGTCGCGCATAATTTATGGGTGACAAATTTCAACTCTAAAAATGAAACCTTTTGAGTGACCTCCTCCCCATACTTGCGTACATAATTTATTAATTTCCAATTCTGAATATCACTCTTGAAGACTTAATGCCAAGTGCACATAATCCTGCTCGTTGATAATGTATTTCAGTATTGTGAGCGCAAAACATCACACTAGGCGATTTTATTCATCACATGCGCTATATATCATGTGCGAAAATGGTAATCCACAGCTTAAAACAAAATATTATTAATATTAAAAATCCTAAAACAGATTGACTGCTAAATACTAATCAGTTGAATTATCAGAACAAGTTTAATTATATAGACATGGAAACTAAGATTTTAAATTAGTTAGAGTATTTCTTTGAAAATATCTTGTATTCTGTATAAATTTTATTAATTTTTTTTTATTTTAAGTTTTTTATATCTCAAGTCCCAACAGCCTAAAGATTGAGCTAATTTATATAAAAAAGCCAGCTAAAAATTTTTTTAAAATTATTTAGGTTCCTTTTTTTAACCAAAAAAGTGCTGAAAAATTCATGCGTTTTTAAGTCTTCAGGGGATCTTATATTTTTAAAAACATGTATACAAAAGAAACCAGTTATTTTTGTATGCTCTTAAGGACCTAGTTATTGAATCAAAGGATGTTATGATTTACAAATTTTAAAAATGTCTTTGAAAATAGATGACAGTAATTGTGAAAAGTGAAGATTTTTGTTTTGTACTCATATGGTCTATAGATTATAGACTCATATGGTCTATAGGCATGTTTTTGCGCAAATATTAAGTTTTATGACGATAATTTTGTAATTTATTAATTAGAACATTGTCATTTATTTGCTTCATTTTATTTTAAACACATTTTATGTTATTAAGGTTATTAGCTGTATAAAACAGCAACAAAACAGCATCAATAAGTTGTTTTACATTGTTTTACAGGCATTTTACACGAACTATTTATATTAAAAAAAAAATTTGCAATTTTTTTATTGTTGTTTTACAGCTTTTTACAATAACAATTAAAACTGCTTGAGATATGACAGGGAAGGGGGGGGGGGCAAAATTAGATTTTTTTGCGTTAATTCAAGCTCTGATATATATATATATATATATATATATATATATATATATATATATATATATATATACATATATATATGTATATATATATATATATATATATATATATATATATGTATATATATATATATATATATATATATATATATATATATATATATATATATATATATATATACATATATATATATGTATATTCAGTCAAGTTTTCATATTTTAGTTCCATGTAGTTATTGCAGAATTTATGTTTTAAATTTATTTCAATTGTTTCAGAAACACATAATTTTCACAATTTTATGTGTTTCTGAAACAATTGAAACTAAATTTTCTAAATGTTTTTAAAATATGGTATATATACACAAAAAATTTCCATAGTTCTATCAGTTTGTTTTGAACACTTATTAAGAGTTGATTAAAGTTTGAGTAAGATTTTGATTTCTTTGTTCTATATGGAAATTTTGTGTATTTTTAATTTACACTTTTAATTTAATTATTTCAATACAAGGAAGAAAAAGTAAAAATTGTTGCTTATAAACATATAGGTTTTTCCAATCAACAAATTGCAAAAAAATCAAAAGGTCTCATCATGCAGTGAATAACTTTATAAACTTAGGCAAAAATCATAACAAAAATCACCAGAGGGCAACATTCTGCTATTTGGCATTTGGCATCATCTGGAATATGAACTGCAAAACAAATAAGGACTGAACTGGAATTATCTGTGACCACAAGGAGTGTCCAACAAGTTTTGTCAAAATCAGGATAATTCCAGTGGAAAAAAAGAACATAAAACCACCATTGATTAAAAAACATAGAAGTGCAAGATTTGAGTTTGCCAAGTACCACTTGACATGGGACGCAGAATAAGAATGTTATTTTTATTTGTTGAAAAGTGTTATTTTTTCCGATAAAAAAAAACTTAGATCGGCCTGATGGTTTTAAGTGTTATTGGCAAGAAAAAAAAAAGATAGTATTGCTAAGAGTCATAACTTAAGTGGGACAGTAATGGTGTGGGCTGCATTTTATTTCTACAGAAAATTTCCAATTAGTTTTATTATAACAAAAATGAATGCAAGAAATTATGAATATCTTTTAGAGGATGTTAATTGAGTTTAGTGAAGGTTTACCTACTGAGAATTAGATTTTCCAACAAGATAATGCAGCAATTCACAAGGCACAAAGTGTAAAATGGTGGTTCCAGGAAAAAAAAAAATTTAGGATTAGCCATCATGTTTGGGGGATATTGCCACAAACTACATATATATGGAAGTTCTCAACAGTATAATATGATACATGAACTGTATTTTAATGGTTTGTTTGGAAAATCTTATAAAAAGTATGAAAAACAGAATCTTTGTATTAATGTAAAGGGTGGTAGTACACGTTATTAAAAACTAAAGTATAAAAAAAATTATTATTCGAAACAAAAATTATAAAGGTTTACTTTTTAAATATTTTTTGAAATACTTCTAACTTTTAGTTTTTTACAAAACAAATAAATAATTTCCTGTAATAAACAAACAAAATAATGCTTTGAGAATTCATTTATATGTACAAATTTTAAGTGGAACTATAGAAATATTGCAAAGTGAATATATATATATATATATATATATATATATATATATATATATATATATATATATATATATATATATATATATATATATATATATATATATATATATATATATATATATCAGGCTTGGACAGGAATGGCATGCGATCGCACTCTGTAGCTGACCACGTTAATAGTTTTTTTTTCTTTGCAACTTGACCACGGCTATTTTAATGTTTTAACAATTAAAATGCAATTAAAAGTGTTACGTTATGAATAGCTTTTAATCGTTGATCTTTTCTATAGTTTTTATTTAACTCTAAGGCTTTAAAATAAAACCACGTAATTATTTTTTTAATGATTGTTTACATAAACGTGTGTGTAAATTAATAAAAAATATTATACATAAATTTTTTTTTGTAGGGGTGTATTTTTCATAATAAATTTAAAAGTTTGAAACTATTTTCCCATATTGTCTTTTAAAGAATTAGTTTTAGAAAGATTTTTTTTTTAAGTTACTTTAATTTATTAATAAGTTCAAAACCTTTTGCGACTACTAGCTTTTACACATTTTATGTAAATTATACAAGAATATAAAATAACTTTATATACTTATTTAAGAATATATTTTGTTGATTAATGGAACAGTTTAGAAGCATTTTATAATATTAATACAATTAATTTTTATAATTAAACTTACGATTTTTTAAAATCTTTTAAACAAAGATTCTATTTTTTGAAAAAAGTTTTTTTTTTTTTTCCAATTACGATAAGAATGAATGAGTTGAAATCATGTGTAATAATTTTTAAATTTGTCATGTGAAGCACCTATTAATATAGTTGTAATGCTCAAATTAAAATTAAATTAAATTGCTTGTTAGCAGTTTATTTTATTTAAATTGCAGATAAGTTTATTTATTTTTTTTCCTATTTTTACGAATAAAAGAGTTAAAAGTCTTTTTTCTAACTAGACATTAATTAGAGCATGAAATTATTAAAAATTACTATTTTTAAAAGACTATGTTATTCAACTTTAAAAAAAAAAAATGTTCAAATTGTCAAAAAGTAAAATCATTTGCGTGGTCAGCAATAGCGCTCGATCGCATGCCATTCCTGTCCAAGCCTGATATATATATATATATATATATATATATATATATATATATATATATATATATATATCAGCCTGATATATATATATATATATATATATATATATATATATATATATATATATATATATATATATATATATATATATATATATATATATATATATATACATATATATTAGTGATGTACTAATGAAAAAGTCTAATAATAATAGTGTTTAATGTAAGTATATAAAGGTAATTATTATTTATAATTAAAGTTGGCTGATTATTCAGCCGATAGTTGAGCAGATTAATTGGCATTGGACGAGCCATTGACATAAGCTAATAGACTAAATTACTACTGGTGCTTATATATGCAAATTATATACTTAAAGTTAAAAAATATATTACCTTTATATACATACATTAAACCTTATTATTAGCCACAATCGGCCTTTTTCAATAATACATCACTTTTAAAACTTTTGAAACTTTTAAAATGGTATACAAGTAGTATTTGTAGGCAGTAGGATTATAACTTTCTGAAGAATTAAATTTTCTTGAACCTTACGGAACTTTATAGAATTTTCTTGACTAATATGGATGTTTTGAGAAATCTCTGACAATTTCTAGAATTTT